TTTTAATATACTTACATTTAAAACTGTACTCCTCCACCGTTTCGACTCTCGCTTCGTCATCCATTACTAGCATAAAAAAAAATCTCCGGTCGGGCCGCAATGCATTATGGGATATGGTGGGCCGGGAAGGATCCATCGGACCTGTCCTTCAAATCGGGGAAAAGGAAGGACGTATTTGTCGGACGCATCGGAGGAGTCTTCGGTTTTGGACGTCCTTCGTCGCGGCGCTGTGACGTATGCGGCCGACAAATTCGACCTTCGGAGGACCCGTCCTGCCGTTTTGGACACAGCCTTGGACGGCCTTCGTCGCGGCACTGTGACGTATGCGGCCGACAAATTCGACCTTCGGAGGACCCGTCCTGCCGTTTTGGACACAGCCATTGTTCCAAAGCTTGGGAGCCACGACTGAAAAAGCTTGATCTCCCCTCAGTTTCAGCCTGGTTTTAGGAATGACCAAAAGCAGCTGAACAGAAGATCTCAGTGCCTGAAAAGGACTGTAWGGTTGAAGTAKATCAGCGAGATAAGAGGGTGCAAGGCCATGTTGGCATTTGTAAGTGAGCAGGAGAATTTTAAAATCTATTCTATAGCGCACTGGGAGCCAGTGAAGGGAGGATAAGACCGGTGACCTATGCTCAAACCTACGAGTTCCTGTTATAAGTGGAGCTGCAGCGTTCTGAACAAGCTGAAGACATGAAAGGGRGACCTGACTGATCCCCACATGAAGTGCACTGCAATAATCTAATCGACTAGTAATAAAAGCAGGTACTATTCTCTCAAGGTCAGGTCTAGTCAATATTGGCTTGAGCTTGGCTATCTGTCTTAGCTGAAAAAAAAAACTTTTCTGCCTAGACTTGATAAAATGATCAAATTGAATTGCAGGTTGGAGATCAAATTGTGGAGATCAACGGTGAGGCAACCCATGGCATCACACACACTCGAGCAATTGAGCTGATCCAAGCAGGCGGCAACAAGGTCCATCTGCTGCTCCGAGCGGGCCAGGGCCTGGTCCCAGATCACAGTGAGTCTCCACTGAAAAAAAAAAAATGTTTTCGTTTACATCTAACACATTAATCACACACATATGGAAGAATAAAAGCTTAACGGCAGGGTGCTTTGTGATTCTCATGCACGTGTTGCAATCTCTTAGACATTTTCTCTCTTTCACACTCCCAACCTGTCATGCTGTTGATCTATTTTGCTTCCTCTGTGTTTCTGCCCAGCTGTCTGTTTCTACCTTTTTCTTCTCTTCCTCCTGTAGGTCTGAACTCTTCTTCCACCCTATGCTTCTACATGAAACCAGAGCATCAGTAAAGGCCTCACTGCTTTTTCTTGGTCTGTCTCTAATAACTTGGTAAATCTCAGACTCCTCTTACTTTTTTGCCTTTGATCCCWCTTTTCAAAGTTTTAGGTTCTGTCTGTCCCTTCTTATGTTAATCTCAGTGTGATTTATTTTCTGCTAGTCAGTCTCATCTCTGGAGGCTTGGTTTTTAAAGCAGTGAATCATAGAAGAACCAAAAGATGAGAAGGAGATCTAAAAAGGGGATTAAAAAGATTTCTTGGGATGTTGCTGAACTCAGGCCTCATCCWTGAATTAAAATAGAGAAAATGTCTTCTGTTAGATGTGTGTGTGTTCACTTCTCAGCCTTGTTCCTGCTGTTTATTCCTCAGGTTCAAAAGACAAAGCACCTGCTCCAACACGCTTTCCCAGACTCTCTGCGTCTGATGACCAGTTGTCTCCAGTTTCTCCGTCCTCCAWCTTCCTCTCTACCTCAGAAGGACCTTCTTCCCCCAAAGTGTTGGCCTCTAATGACGTCTCCAGAGGGGACCTCAGAGTGTCTGGGTCAGCCGACGATGGACAGGCCAACAGATCAAGAGGACAGCAGCTTCTTYACAACAGCCAGAAGCGTACCACCAACCCCAGCACCTCCACGACACAAGCTGCCAGGGCCAACTCAGAGTCTGGCAGTTCAGGGAAAGCCACCGAAGGCCGGACGGATCACATGGAACAGACCCAAAGCCCCCCGAAAACAGAGCGAGGCCGCAGCGGATCCCAGGATGACATGATCGAGGAGAGAAAAGCCCAAGGGCAGAGACACCCCCGCTCCTCTAGTCCAAGGAAAGGTTCCAGGAAGGAGCGTGATCCCACAACGCGTTCAAGGAACCTGGAGGAGCCCCCGAGCCCCCGGCGCCCGGCGGGCCAGCAGCCCAGTGCTTCCACTAAGGAATCTAAGGACAGAAAGCAGAAAGGGGAGGACGCCACCCACCGGCAGGAGAGAGGGGCCGCGGAGAGTGGGCGCAAAGGCTCGGGAGCCGGCGAGCGCCGCAGGAAGGGAAAGCGAACCGAGGCGAGGTCAGATGCCGACCCCGGCCCCACGAGCCAGAAGAGTGGAGGTGACCGGGCTGACAGAGAGCCCCCAGGAGACCGGCTGCAGGAGACAGCTGAGGACGTGAGCAGGAAGAATCCCGCAGGTTCCAGTAGCGGCATCATCCAGGACCCCAACTGCAAGAAGGCTCCCATCACCCCGGGGCCCTGGAAAGTTCCCAGCTCCGCCAAAATCCAGTCCCACGTGGACACAGCATATGCAGATGTATAAAACCTGAACAGGACTACATGAAGACGAAACTGAGCCTCTGAAACACAGATGGGAGGAACTGAAGGATTTATTTTTTTAAACTGCAGAACACTCTGTAACCAGCAACATACCTTCCCATTGACTGTTTTTTTCTGTTTGTTGTTTGTTTTTGCACCCAGTTTGCCTCAGACATGTTGCACCAAGCTGCTGATGAGTATTTGTTTCTTCCATGGATTTGTGTAAAACTGAAGGGAGTGTTTTTTATGTTTATCTTGTTTTTTCTTTTTTCTTGGTTGGTTGCTTTTGGCTGTTTTTGTTGTTGATTTTTTTATTTAATTTAATTTTTTTGTCTATTTTGTGCCAATCAAATAGTGTACTCCGGTGATGAAGACTCTGACAGCACCCACTGTGAACCAGTTTGTGGCTGACTTAATGAAGCACTCGTCCTTTTTTTTTTTTACCCTGAGCACTCAACGGAACCCGTTTCTTATCTCTCACTTTGAAGGAATACAAGCATATCTCAGCAGCAAGATTTGATCACTGTTAATGAAAAGTTTTTGAGTTGCTCCTAAAAGGAACTCGAGAAAATCGGTGTCTTCTTAGTCGTATTTTTAATTTAGAAAACCCGAGGAAAACTGTGACTAGTGTGACTGCGTTCAAACATATGAAGTCGTGAATCCAATGTGGGTGGAAGGACCACCCTGGAGCTTTTATATGCATCGATGAGCAGACCTGATACTTGTGCTTATAGATCTAATGTTTATTATCTGTGTTGTGACAATAAAACCTGTGTGTATTTTCTTAGAAATATAAGTTTTTATTTAAAAAAAAAGGCCGTCAGTAGAGATGTCCATGCTGTGAGGGAGCACTCTTTTGACGTGTACTCGGAAGAATATAAAACGTTTAGAAAAGCAGAGTTTTTGTTTAAAGATTCCCACTAAGAAGAGCTCAAATCAGTCATGAAAAAAGGMAATCCGCCCTTTTTACCAGATTTTACCGTTATTTAAATCAAACCTCAGGAGTACGAAACACAACAGATGGCGTGGCATTATTTAATGAAGAAAAATGGAAAAGATTTAGGAAAGACTAACCCTGCTCCATGATTCAGTCACTTTTAGAACCTGCTTTAGTAGCAATTTATTAGTTTGTAATGTTTGGGGAGGAGCTTAGTCCTGTTCTCTCCAGTTCTCCATTGTTTCAGTTCTTTCAGATTTGTTCACTGAAGTTTTCTAAAGGTCCTCTCTGTCTTTAAGCCGAGTTTTTTTTTTACCCAGTTTAACCCTCACATTTCATGTTTTGTTTACTTTTCCCCAAACATGGCGTGAGCATTATCAATAAATACATACGTTTTGGCCTAATCTGTCCAAAGGTCTTTGTTCCCACACTGTAAAAAATGAAACGTTGGATTTACTTAACCATGTTATGTTACCTGGTTCCACTTAACTGAGTTGAGTAAATTCAAAGCRAKATACCAGTTTTTTTAGCCAAAGAACATGAGCATGTTGCTTTGAATTTACTCAACTCAGTTAAGTGGAACGGGGTCACATAACATGGTTAAGTAAATCCAACATTTCATTTTTAAAGTGCATGCTTAATTTAAACCTCTTCAATCTGTCCAGAAGCAACCGTGGTGGATTTCTTCTTTTTTTCACCTTTCTGTTTTGCATTAAAGTTTGGTAACTTAATGCTACCTGTTGTGTTTTTGTACACTTAATTTTTGAACCTTGTAAAAAAAAAGATTTTTATTACATCCTAGGCTAATATGTGAAAACATCACGTGAAAGCAGGTGAACCTTTGGTTCCCCATGACTCTTATCAGTGTCTGGAAACAGTTTGTTTCATAATGTTGTAGACCACTAGCAGCACTATGTGTATGTATACATGACCCGTAGTGTGTTCTAGATACTTCACTATTACAAGAATTAGAGACATATATAAAAATATGTGTTTTTTTAATAGAATAATGTATACGGTACTTTACAGAGCTTGATTGATAAAATAAGAACTCTGCTTTTAATTTACTCAAAACTTAGAGAGACATTTGCATTTTTTAATCTTTTTTTTCTGAAGCCCAAAATCAAATAATGACAGTTTGGTGTATACATGACGCATGGTGTTCTGGTTTAATTACAACAACAAAAAGAAGTTATTCTGTCAGCATTTTGTACCACAGGAAAGCTGCTCCATATAAACTGTCCGAACAGCAGCACTTCTTTGAAAATCAGAACATTTTAAAAAGACAAATGTAGCGTTTCAGTGTGGACTACAGCTTTGAACAGTGCTCTGCAACAACCAATTTATAGCTTTAACTCRACCTCATCTACACGCCTGCTTCACTGTGTGTTGATCGGTCTGTGTGATCACTAAATTATTTATTGTCCAMGTTGTTGATGTAATGGGCTATTACTTACTGTTCCTATCTCCACCACGTCTGATATTGTGGCCTTGCATTGCTCCGAAATATTTAAAACAGAAGTCATAGTTTTGACATCACAGTAGATGTAAATGTTTTCTAAAATGTACAGCACTTGTAAAAAAAAAAAAGGTTTCTCAGAAAAAAGATCCTCTGTATATTGTTTCATTATTTTTTTAGGGGAACTGAAAAGAAATGTTATAAAATGGGTGAAAGTAATAATTTGTGAAATTGTTCATGCACTGATAAATAAAGGTTTACTAAATGAAAATTGCAAATAATTTTTTTTTCTTTGATAATAATAGATTTGGGAGTATCTGTAGTGAATCAGGTAATTTTGCATCACATCGTCCTAAAAGAAAAAAACATTTCTTGAGCAAAAAGTAGAAAACACAATGAACACAGTAAAAGAAATGCATTGCAAAAGTACATTTTATAAAACACTTTAATGAACAATCCTTGACACTGATAAAACAATGCCAAACATTTAGTAAAAGCTCATAAAACATCTCTTTTTGAGGCATTTAGTGTATTTGTTTCTATAAAATTCAGACAAAATTCAACATAGAAACGTAAAAATTCCAGTCTGTTCCTGGTTCAAAAACATTCAGGGTCTGGCTTTAGTTTTCACACACAAATATTTGATTTTCAGTTTTTTAGAGTGACCATAATGAGCAACTGGCAGCAGCTAATATTTATTTTTTTATTTTTTTATTTTTTTTGGATGGCCTCCCTTCTCCCCTTATAGCCATCCTCTCCACACCATTATGAATTTGTTTTAAGTGAAGTGAAAATAGAGACAGAGAGAAAAACAGAGAGAGAAGTAATTAGAAAGATAGAAAGATTGAAATAGCGATTAGGATTATATTTAATTTACACCAACAAAACACAGGACCACACACCCAACATCTGTCTGCTCACCTGAAAAATAAATGGATAAATACATGGAGGGCATATATAAAAATATACACATACCCATAC